TCAACCTTGGCAACTTTATGACACATGAACTCTAATTCCCAGAATTCCCTAGCCAGCAAGATTGGCTGGGGAATTCTGGGAGTTGAAGTCTATGTGTCTTAAAGTTGCTAAGGCTGAGAAAATCTGTCTAACTATAAGATAAGATAAGATGAGATGAGATGAGAAGAGAAGAGAAGAGAAAATAACCTTTATAGTCATTTTTTACTGTAGGTACAACGGCACACATCGAAAATGAAATTTAGTTGCCCGCTCTCAAGGTGAAACACATACATGACACACACCTAAACATACTATGTACAAGATATGTATAGACCCACACCCCTACATATACATAACAAATAAACATTAAATACTGTCCAACTTGCATATATAGTATTTTGCTTTCCTTTTCTGCAGTGTTTGTCTTTTGTTTCTTCACTGTCACACTTCTAGTTTTTTTCCAAATTTTCCAACCATCTGGGTACAATATATGTATACCTGGGCATGTGTGCATGCACGCCCACAACACAGTATATTATGTTTATTATTTATTCACTTCACATCCTTAATAGCCTACCCATTCAAATAATTTGGAAGAGTGATCAAGGCTGGGAAGGAAAAGTCTCGAGAACACCTAAACTTCAGACTATTCAGACTTGTTGATAGACTTGCCCTTTGGGCCTCTCTGCAAATAGAATGACTGCTACCCAGCATAGGTATGGATTCCATACTTGAAGAGTTTGCTAAATAGCTAATACAGAGATTAAATAGAGTTGTGGCCAGAATTTAACCTGGCGTTGCCCAACTGTGGATGGATAAGGGCAGAAGGGAGGATACAGGATGCTCCTAAGAGCCACATTGAAGGCCCAACTAGGTAAGATTAAACCAGAAGGTCAAGGCCACAGAGACTTCATAAGTCTAGAACTAAATTTTATTAAAAGAGGCTACAATACCAGAATCCTGTAAGTCCTATAATGCTTTCTTATACCCAAGTGAAAGAGGGAAGCATATCCCTGAGTTGTTTTCCAATATGATATGATATGATACAGTTTCCCAGTATTTCAAGAACGTTTAGAATAGAATAGAATAAAATAGAATAGAATAGAATAGAGAACAGAACAGAACAGAATAGAAGGAATGAAGAATAGAATAGAATGTAGAATAGAGTAGAATAGAATGTAGAATAGAGTAGAATAGAATAGAATAGAGAACAGAACAGAACAGAACAGAACAGAATAGAATAGAATAGAATAGAATAGAAGGAATGAAGAATAGAATAGAGAACAGAACAGAACAGAACAGAATAGAATAGAAGGAATGAAAAATAGAATAGAATAGAATAGAATAGAATAGAATAGAATAGAATAGAATAGAATAGAATAGAATAGAATAGAATAGAATAACTTTATTATCACTTCACGGGCACGTTCTTCAAGAATGCAATTAAAAATAAAATAAACAGCTCTTGCCTATGAGTCCTCTTTGTCTTTCTCGTGTTCCTATATTCAGGAGTTTAGCTAAATAAGGTTAAAATCAAGTTGGATATCTCATTCAGGGCATTGTAGGAAACCAGCCATTGCTTTGGCATCAACCAGACCATCAAAAGTTAAGTCACAAGATGCTTTTGCTGTTTAGATTTCCCATGCTAGGTGAGCCCAGCAATTGTGTTTTGTTAACCTGAGTTTAGGATTAAGTATGTTTTAAGAACTCTGCCAAATTGTTTCCACTGTAGGGATAATAGCTGCTGGGGCAAGGGTGGAATTGGAGAAATGTCATGCGAGAAAGGATTAAACTCCTTTTTTCCTGTACAGCTATTTTTAATCAAATTTCCTTCCAGAGAATTAGCCCAGCGAGGCGATTGGAGGGAAAAGAACCATTTGCAGATAAGCTTCATCAGTTGCTGATAAGAGATTATATTGTTGTTGATCGACTCACAATGAAGTTCTATGCCACGCCTAAGAGCTATTTTATAAACAATCATGCTATAAATAATGATAGTTTGCACCCTTCTCTTTTCTTTTCCGTCACGCCTCTCCTTGCACTGTGGCTGCCAGATCAGGCTGCAAAAAATACGAACTGCTACTAGATGGCAGCAAAGAGACCCAGAATACAAAACATTTCCTGCCGTTTACTGGTCATCTAGGTTTTTGCAACCCCACGTGAGATCCTCCCTTCTATGCACCTTCTCTTCCAGTAATCCCAAAATATATGCATGTCCTCTCCAGATCATGCTCCATGTATCTCATATCTGTTTCCTGATCTAAAACAGGGGTGTCAAACTCGCAATGTCACGTGACGTGTCACAATGTATCGCAACATTGCAGGCAATTGGGTGGGCGTGATTTCGGCATGACACATCAGTTTGACACCCCTGACCTAAAAGGTTGTGAGTCTTGAAGCCTTGATCACGCCTCAAGTCTAGATTTATTTGCTATTCAGATCACATCCCCCCTCCCCCGCAACTCCAGGACCGGAGTGGATTCCATCCTGAGCAAAGATTGCTCTTAATGAGCTCAAGGGTGCCTTCCACATTTGAACAAAATACAAAGAACAGATGATGATCTGAATACTACTGTAATCCTTCATCGGATTAGCACGGTCCAGGAAAGAACCTCAAAGAACAGTTCACTTTTTTTCTCTCTCTCTCTCTCTCTATTTCCAGCAAAAATGATCTGAACATCCCAAATAGAAGGGAATTTGAACTGCATCCAATCAGTGTATTATTTGTATAATGTCACAGGAAGAGAGCCGTATTACTGTAGGATAGCCAAAAATCAGGAGCAATCAGGCAGATTGCTGACAGAGATTAGTCAGCTGACACATTTGACTAAAAGGCATCAGTTTTGGGGAGAACCAGGTAGGCTTCAGGTGATCTCCGAAGGTGACAACAAAACACATTGAAGCTATCAATGGATAAGATATTTGTAAAGTCTTGTACAGATAACCTGTGTTTGCTTCACCTGTCTTCTCTTCTCTTCCTCTTCTTTGCCTCATCCCAGTATAAATATGCATCAGAACTCTACACGATGGAGGAAACTAAATGTAGTTCATGCCTTTTAATAAAATATTAATCAGAAATGTGCCACCAGTTTCCTTCTGATTTGGGGCTATCCAGGTTTACTCAGAAATGAGTCCCATAAATATCAACACAGCTTTCTTCCGGTGAGTGGATATAGGATTGTAGCTGCAATTACAGCATTTTTTTTTTCCTTTCCACTACACACTCTAGCAACTCAAACTCTGAAACAATTCAGTGAATGATTGAGGATCAATTCCAGGTTAATAGACAAGGCTCATCAGAAGCTCCCTCTGACAGGGTTAGGTGTAAACAAGCCACATTGGTGCAAAAGGACTCCAGTCTTTCAATTAAATACGGCCATCAGAGTTTCCCATCTGATTAGATGGAAACACAACGTGTGGCAAGTCATGGTTTGGAACTAGGGCAATTTGGGATTCTAAAAAGGGCTGCATTATACACTGTATGTAATATGTGAACATTGACCACACATGGAACTTTAATACAAGGATCCCAATAAATCGTTCATCTAATGTCCGGTCAAGTTAATGAACTCTTTCTTATATAATTGACATTTCAATAATGTATGCATTATGTCCTCTATCTCTATCTCTTGTTCATTACAAGGGACTTGGTTAAACTCTCCATATTTTAAGCTACTTGACTGTTAGGGGAAGGATGATTATTATTTTTTTACTGCAATAATCACTATAGACTGCAGAGGGGTTGACAACAAACCACAATAAAATGCAGACTAGCATCATCAAATGCTAGCCTTGCATAATGATAGCTCAATGTCTCATACACACACACATGAGTCACACTGTTGGCATGATGTAGTCCTTTGTGTTTTGTCATTTGCTGTCCCCTCTCCTTTGTAAATAGTCATGTATGATTCGCAACCGATGCTTGATGTTGCCTGGAAGAACTGATAGCATTTTGAGAGAGGACTTTGGGGCTGGGAGTAACTATTCCACAGCTCATTCTGGACTGGAGATCATGTGTTGCTCAATGGAATGAAAGTGAAGTAACTCTATTGTTACTTATCAAATACAGAATATAAAACACAGAACATTAATAAGACTGTATGTAAACATGGAATTAAAAACAAATTAGCAGTGACATGATAGCAATATTCCAATATCTAAGGAGCTGCCAGAAAGAAGAGGGGGTCAGCCTATTCTCCAAAGCACTTGAAGGCAGGACAAGAAGCAACGGATGGAAACCAACCAAGGAGAGAATCAACCTAGAACTAAGAAGAAATTTCCTGACAGTTAGAACAATTAATCAGTGGAACGACCTGCCTCCAGAAGCTGTGGATGCTCCAACACTGGAAGGTTTTAAGAAAAGACTGGACAGCCATTTGTCTGAGATGGTACATTTGTGTCTTGCTTGAACAGGGGTTGGACTAGAACAGGGGTGTCAAACTGCTGGCCTATGGGCCAGACGCGTCATGCTGAAATACTGCCCACCCATTGCCGGCAATGGGGAAAAAGTTGCAATACGTTGGCAACATTACGTGACATCACGAGTTTGACATGCCTGGACTAGAACGTTCCTTCCAACTCTGTTATTTTGTTAAAGAATAAAAAATGCAAATCATGTTTCTGTGTATCCCTACAATTTACCCCTGTGAAACCCATATATGGAACTACTTTATTCAAATGAACTGCTTTGTTATATATATAATTTGTGAATTTTGACCAGACAGGAAATATATTTTTTAATATAAGAATACCAATAGGTCGTTTGTGCAATCTAATGTGCAGTCCAGGATACTGATCTCTCTCTTTCTTATATAATTGACATTCAAATAATATATGTGTTATGTCTGCTATCTCTGGAGCGCTGCAAATGCAGGTATGTTCATTATAAGGGACTTGGTTAAATCTTCCATACTTAATCATTGTGTCCAGTGGTTTGAACAACTTGCAGTGGAATGGAAGCATTCATCAGACCGGTTCTATACAGGCTGCAAAATGTACTAATGACCCATAGAACAGTCTTTTCTTTTTATTTAGAAAAAAAGTTCTTTTTATTTAGGAAAAAAAAAAATGACACAAACCCAGAGTGCATACTTATAGCCCTACAACGCACCCTGCAAGAGTGAACATTGGTTATGAACTGGTGATGTGAAGCCAGCTTCTTAATGGCCATGTCGATCTGCATCAAAGACGCACAGGTAGGTTTTCTATATCCAACCATCTCCTTTTCACAGTTTAGTTATCAGAAAACATTCAGTAAAGATGAAAAAAAAAGGTTCTTGCCCCCCCCCCCATCTCTTCCTATCACTGTTTGCTCTTGATTGAAGCTGGAGAGCGATCCTATTTTTATAACCATCACAAGCCTTTCTCCTGCAGCCACAAAAGCCGGTTTCCAGAACATATATTTTTGCAGGTACAAACGCAAACTCCCAAACAAGCCCGCTCCTTTGATTTAATCCAGAGAGAGGCAGGAATTTTCCCCCAAAAGGCTGACACATGAGCATGGAAAAAAATCCTCATTACTTTCCCATTGCAGGAGAGATTGTGGTTTTAACACCGAAGGACCCAGCTTGTGCTTACAGTCATATGATGTGAAAGAATTAGAACACATAATAAAAAAGAAGGTACAAATATGAAGCCAGGAGGGAGATTGACCACTGCAACAGTTCATAAGGATACACAATATTGACCTCAAACACCCAGTAGTAATGTCTGTTTGGCAGAATCCTGCACAAATAACTATTGCAATGAGAAGGAAGAGTGAGCAGCTATACTAGATAAGGCCAGATAACTTTCAGTATTTAGAGATGGACAATTTATACCGAGTAAAGTTCAAGTAACACAACAGTCTTTTGTCTATGAAGGACTGTGGCTTCATAGAACCATCAGGATGAAGTTCTGATCCACTTAAAATCAAGAGTAATGTGTGCCTGCTGCAGCTTTTCATAATTCGGTATCTTCTAGATGTTCTGGGATCTCAATGCCCAACATCCCAAACCAGTTTGGCTGGAAATTTGGGGACCTGTAGCCCCAACAGGGTTGAAGACCATTTAGCTTGTGGAAGGCCAATCTCCAGAAAAGTATCCAGATGGAATGAGAGATGGAATTACATAACCAAGGAGACTGAGAAAGGGGAGATAACTTACACAGTGAACAATTTTGATCCAATTCCTTCATGTTACCAGTTGAAGAAAAAAAAAAAAAAAGCAGAGAGATCCCTTTGCAAACCAAGGTTCACCCAGGGTCAGTGGAGACAGAAATTGGAGTTTCAAATATAGTGAGATTGAAAACGGTGCTTTTCTACTCTGTTAGATGGAAGGCATTTAAGAAGTAACCCAGAGGACTTAAGCCATATCAGTTCTATGCTTAAATAGGAGTCATATTTAATAAGGTAACATCAGCAACAGCAGTTATTCTCCCTAATGCCTACTTGAAACAACATGCAAACGGTAGACGAGCTGCAGTTTTGGATAAGTAAGCTGCTCAGAAGTTTGACAACTGCAACAGGAAAACAAATCTGCTTGATGAATGATTTTCCTCAATCTAGTCACATGTCCATTCCTAAAAAGGTGACATACCAGAAGTTCCTCCTTGAGTTTACTCTGCACTCTCCTTTTCAGGTTGCCTTTACTTCCAAAATTTAAGACCCAGTTTTGGACAATCCAAACTGATTGCTCTTTTACCTATCCACCTCCCTTTGTGGTCCAGTGGTTGTTGTCTGATCTGCAAGTCACAAGACCCCCTCAAAAAGACAAACCAAACCACTTATGTTCCCCCCCCCTCAGTAATCCACATTTAGCACTCTATCTTAAAATGCCCATTAACCTGCCACTTCAGTGGCTTGTCTGAGATTGTTCCGTGTCTCTTTTTCCACCTTTGGTGGATCCACAAGTTCAGTCTGTGTCCACCTGCACGTCCCGGTTTTCGCCTAGAGAGTAGAATATACTGTGGCAAAAAACTTGGGAAGCACCTGGGAAGAATCCTGAGGCCCAGCCTCTTTCTTCCATGGTCAGGAATCACAATGGAGCCTTCCAGATGAAGAGGCCCTCGAGAGAAACCCGGTTGCTATCAAGGAAGCCCCCATGGAATTTACACTTCAAATGGCTGCTTGCTAGACGTACTGTTTTTTAGAAGCACTGCTACTTGGGCGGCTGGACTGCTTTTCTGGACAGAGGTGGATTGTAGGGGCTCCCGTTGCAAAGAGATCAGGAGGATTAATCTGGTTTTGCAAGGCCAAGGTTTCTTCTGTGTTGTAGTTGGCCCAATTCTGCTCACTGGAGAGCTTGTTGTATCCCTGGTAGGGTGGTGCATGTCTGTCTGACATGGGGAGGTAGAAATAGGATTTATCTGGTGGATAAGGCCCTGTTGGCATTTTACCAATGCTGTTGGCATCAAAAGGTAGAGGCGGAGCAGAAGATGGGGGACAACAGTCACTTTCCTTAACCTTGTTGACCAGGTGCTTGCAAAAGAGATGGAGAAGCTCCAGAATGTTGAGGACAAGGGAGATCAAGCCCATTACCAGCATGAAAAGGATGAAGATGGTTTTCTCAGTGGGACGGGACATAAAACAGTCCACGTGGTGTGGGCATGGAGAGCCTTGGCACACATAGTTCGCATGCATGACAAAGCCATATAGGTACCACTGGCCAAGGAGAAAGCCTGCCTCAAAAATGGTCTTGAAGATCACACTGATGACATAGGTCCACATCAGAGGCCCACGGATTTTAATTCGGCCATCTTCAGCCACGCAGATCTTGGCCATCTTCTTCTCCACGGCCATCAGCATAGCTGTCACTTTGTAATCTTTGGCTTGCAGCGCCCGGAGTTCACTCTCCCGCTCCTTTAGCTTCTCCTCTTGTCGGGAGAGGTAGACGACATGCCCCAGGTAGACCAAGGTTGGGGTGCTGACAAAGAGGAATTGCAGCACCCAGTAACGGATATGGGAAATAGGGAAGGCATTGTCATAGCAGACGTTGGTACAGCCAGGTTGCTTGGTATTACACACAAAGTCGGACTGTTCATCCCCCCAGACAGACTCCCCGGCTAGACCCAGGATCAAGATCCGAAAGATGAAAAGGACTGTCAACCAGATCTTGCCGAAGGCTGTTGAATGCTCCTGCACCTGGTCCAGTAACTTCTCCAGGAAGCCCCAGTCGCCCATCCTGTGCTGAGGACAGTTAGAGAGGCAGGAATTAACAAAGGGTCCATAATTCTTTCGTGAAAGCTTAACGTTCCCACCCATCATCTAAGTCACGTGGAGGCAAACCTCCTGAACTGAAAACTACATTGGCCACCATGAGGCCTTCAAGAGATCCAAAGGAAGACAAGGATAATGAATGGGACCATAATTCACCCCAGCCAATTGCTGTGAAACTCATTCCCTTCCCAACGTGGCTGGACTCATACAATATCTTAAGTCCAAGCCGTATGATGATGGTGTTTACACAACGTTCTGAATTTAGTTATTGAGGAAACCCTCTTGTCTAAATTACACCATAAACTGCAAAGCATTTTTTTAAAGTCTCCCTTGTATTCTGTGTATATGTATATGTATATACATATGTAGGTCTTTGGTTGTTCGGGTTTTCTCCCGCGTAAAAGTATTATATATGTATATAATGTATACGTATGTGTATGTAGGAGACACACAAGACATAAATAGTCTCTCTCTCTCTCTCTCTCTCTCTCTCCCCCCCCCCCACACACACACAGCATAAACATATAAAATCTTCCTTCTCACCCCTATGGGTGGCCTGTGTCTTGCTCAATCTCGGGTCTTCTACCAGAGGGCCTGGGAGTTTGAGGGTCCTGCACAGAATCTCAGGTGTTTCTAGCACTGCTCTCTTTTGAACAGAGAGCATTGATCTCATTCTTGGAATCTGCTGGATCCCAGCTTAGGGGTCACAGCCCCAAATGCTCCTACCAAAACTGGCACCGCTTTGGCCTTTACTGTCCATGTACTCTTTCAAACCCTGGTCCTTCTCCAGCTTCTCATACGTCTTTCTTTCTCCTGATGTTGATGTTACCTGGCATTGTACATTTATCTCCACTGCTGTCTTCTGGTTCTTATCTACTAATTCCATTCATTGTTTGAATACACAAGCAAACGCACAAGAGGAAGAGAGAGAGAGAGAGAGAGAGAGAGAGAGAGAGAGAGAGAGAGAGAGAGAGAGAGAGAGAGAGAGAGAGAGAGAGAGAGAGAGAGAGAGTAAAAGAAAAATTGAAACCCTAGCATCCAGCAAAATGTTAGTTTACAAGAATGTCACCAGTCTCATATGGTTGCCTGGATATTCTTGGAAGATTATAAAAAAAGTGGTAGGGGCTGGGGCCAGTGCTTTCTTTGGAGGAATGATGAAGAAAAGAGAAAGAGAGAGAGAACGAGAGAGAGAGAGAAAGAGAGAGAGAAAGAGACAGAGAGAGGGAAAGAGAGAGACAGAGAGAGAAAGAGGGAGAGGGAGAGAGAGACACACACAGAGAGAGAGACAGACAGAGAGACAGAGAGAGGGAAAAGAGAGAGAGAGAGAGAAAGACAGAGACAGAGAGAGACAGAGAGAGAGAAAGAGAGACAAAGAGAAAGAGAGAGGGAGACAGAGAGACAGAGAGAGAGACAGAGAGAGACAGAGACAGAGAGACAGAGAGAGTGAAAAGAGAGAGAGACAGAGAGACAGAGAGAGGGAAAAGAGAGAGAGAGAGAGAGAGAGAGAGAGAGAGGGAAAAGAGAGAGAGAGACAGACAGAGAGACAGAGACAGAGAGAGAAAGAAAGAGAGAGAGAGACAGAGACAAAGAGACAGAGACAGAGAGAAAGAGAGAGACAGAGACAGAGACAGAGAGAGGGAAAAGAGAGAGAGAGAGAGAGAAAGACAGAGACACAGAGAGAGAGAGAAAAAGAGAGAGACAGAGGGGAAAGAGAGAGAGAGAAAGAGACAGACAGAGAGAAAGAGAGAGAGAGAGAGAGAGAGACAGAGAGACAGAGGGAAAAGAGAGAGAGAGAGAGAGAGAGAGAGAGAGAGAGAGAGAGAGAGAGAAGGGTGGTGAGGAAGCTACAGGAGGCTCTGAAATGGGTAAAGCAGGTGAGTAAGTACAGAATAACCACACCCATCAATACAGGTGGTAGGAGTCCATCTGTGAACCCACGACCAGCTTTCAAAATTCCAGGTGGGTATTAATTCACCCCCAAAACCTAATATGCCCCTATATTAGATTATCTCCAGGCACAGAGCATCCAATAAATGCTGAGTTTTGAGAGCTGTGCCAGAAGGAAACACAAATTAAGGCAAAATTCCATGTATGGGTCTCAGGCTGTCTGAGCACAAATCCTATCCTGACCTCTAACTTTGTCAGCTTCAACTTAATATAGGAGAATTAGATCTTCTGAAGAAAACAATCCAGGACTGCACAATGGCTTACATTTCGAAAGGAAATTCTGGAACCTGAAAGCTGTTCTTTTGCTCGTCTTCCGGAAGAGTTCTATAAATATCTTTCTTTTTTCAAAAATGGTTGCGTTTACAGTTCGCTTACAATAAGAGAAACATTTAGGGTCCTACAACAACACTGTGGTTTTTGCCTAGAATCGTCAAACAAAACTGCCCTTCTGAAATTAGAAATAGCATTAACTATGGAGTTAGAATTTGCATTTGTGCATGATCAGGAATAAAAATTTTTTTAAAGCAGATGGTGATGATGATGATGATGATGATAATAATAATAATAGTAAAGTTGGAAAGGATCTTGGAGGTCATCTAGTCAAACTCCCTGCTCAGGCAGGAAACCCTATACCATTTCAGACAAATGGCTGTCCAGTCTCTTCTTAAAAACTTCCAGTGTTGGAGCATTCGCTGCTTCTGGAGGCAGGTTGTTCCACTGGTTAATTGTTCCCACTGTCAGGAAGTTTCTTCTTAGTTCTAGGTTGCTTCTCTCCTTGATTAGTTTCCACCCGTTGCTTCTTGTCCTGCCTTCAGGCGCCTTGGAAAATAGCTTGACTCCCTCTTCCTTGTGGCAGCCCCTGAGATATTGGTGATAAAGTCTCCTTTCAAATAAAGTTACATGTTACCTGGCTTAAATATATTTTTTGACGTTTGAAAACCCAACAGTTCCACAAATGGGAGAAGATGGAAGGATGAGGTTTTAAGCATGCAGTCATAAAGCTGTTCCCTATGAAGAACGACTGCTGGAATTGGGTATGTCTAGTTTAATGAAGAGAAGGACAAAGGGGGACATGATAGCAGTCTTTCAGTATCTCAGGGGCTGCCCCAAAGAAGAGGGAGTCAAGCTATTTTCCAAAGTGCTTGAAGGCACGACAAGAAGCAATGGATGGAAACTAACCAAAGAGAGAACCAGCCTAGAACTAAGGAGAAATTTCCTGACAGTGAGAACAATTAATCAGTGGAACAACCTGCCCCCAGAAGTTGTGCGTACTCCATCACTAGAAGTTTTTTTAAGAAGAGGCAACCATTTGTCTGAAATGGTGTAGCAGGGGCTTGGACTAGATGACCTCCAAGGTCCCTTTCAACTCTGTTATTCTGTTCTGTTATTCTGGTACACTATCCTTTGCAAGAAATATTTCACTGTACTGTTCCTTGTCTTCATGCTTTGCTAGAGTCCTATTTTTATGCCCTGTTTAAAAAAGAGATACAGAACCAGGATTCAAACCCCCCAACTGTCCAACTAGTGCTGCATTGGCATTTAAAGCATTAGCTTTTAAAATCTCCCACCCAGAAAGCAAGAAAACCATGATAATCCAGGGGATAGTAAAAAAAAAAAAGGTAATTTATGCCTTTTAATAAAACTTGTTGTTTGGAAAAGATGCTTCCAGATGCCTCCTGTCTCAGGAAGGCAGTAGAACTAGAGGAAAAAAGGGCCAAGTGGTTAAATTTACCCGAGAGTGCTGCTGCCTGCACAGCTGTGCCTATGATAATTTTATTTTATATCTTTTTTTTCTACCTCTATCCTCAGCAGCTGCCCAGGACTTACAAAGTGCCTGAGGCTGAGGTTTTCAATTGCTTTGGTAAAAATAAGGAAAAACAATAAAAACTGTATCATGGGTCCCCCCCCCCAATTTAATAATAATAATAATAATAATGTTGGAAAGGACCTTGGAGGTCATCTAGTCCAATCCCCTGCTCAGGCAGGAAACAAATGGCTGTCCAGTCTCTTCTTAAAAACCTCCTGTGTTGGAGCATGCACCGCTTCTGGAGGCAGGTTGTTCCACTGGCTAATTGTTTTAACTGTCAGGAAGTTTCTCCTTAGTTCTAGGTTGCTTCTCTCCTTGAGAAAAGGTTGTCCCATAGATAAGCTTTTCCTGGCAAGGTGATAAAATAGCCATTGACGGTCTACACCTACACACCACTGCACAACCAGAAGACAGAGGACAGCTGGAAGTGTTGACATCCTGAATGGATGTGTTGGGTTTTAATGATTCTAGCTGAGTTTGTACTGGGAAAAAGGCAGGAACTCCATGCTTGGTCTTAGAGAATTCCTTTGAGCATGAGCACTAGCTCTTCTCTCCTTAGTCAATGAGGACTAGTAACTTCCTATTAAAGATCCAAAAACCCCAGCATGGAGTCGGTTGAGATGCTGAGACTTTGGAAAAAGTGCAGAGAAGAGCAACTAAAATGATTAAAGGCCTGGAGAAGAAAACATAGGAAGAACAATTGCAGGAATTGGGTATGTCTAGTTTAATGAAGAGAAGGACGTGGGGGACATGATAGCAATCTTCCAGTATTTGAGGGGCTGCCCAAAAGAAGAGGGAGTCAAGCTACTCTCCAAAGTGCCTGAAGGCAGGACAAGAAGCAACGGATGGAAACAAATCAAGGAGAGAAGCAACCTGGAATTAAGGAGAAAGTTCCTAACAGTGAGAAAAATTAATCAGTGGAACAGCTGGCCATCAATAGCTGTGGGCGCTCCATCACTGGAGGCTTTTAAGAATAGGCTGGACAGCCACTTGTCTAAAATGGGTCTCCTGCTTGAGCAGGAGGTTGGACTAGATGACCTCCAAGGTCCCTTCCAGCTCTATTCTGATTGAGTCTAGAGAAAGTTCAACAGTCAGGCTTGCTTTAGGCAAGCAGGAAAGGACGGCAGAATGCCTTGGACGTCCTACATACGACAGTCTGATAGAGAAAGTCAAACACTAGGAAAATACTGTCAATCTTTCACCTTAAATCTTAAAACGGAATAAGAGCCGTGATGCCAAGAGGGAATAACTTTGAAGCAGACCAATGTGAAAAATCAAGATTTACTATTATTCTAAAAATCAAAGCACCGCCTCCAGGGCTTTCAAGTTTAGGGCTATTGAACAAGTTTAAAGACCGTTGTACTCACCAACAAATCAAAGGGATTTTCCTGACTTAAAAGTCCTCATTAGAAGTTTTTGGCTTAATTTTCTCCGTTTCGGCTCTGCTTCCGAAGAGGAGCTGCAGCCCAGCTCAGATGCAGGATGGGAATATAATAAACGTTCCTGGAATTCAGGACACTGCGCGACTGTTATGAAGAGCAAAGAAGGGGAAAGTTTATTATAATAACCCTTGGATGAGTTAACAGAAGGGGCGGAGTTAGAGGAAATGAGTTGGGGAAGAGGAGGAGAAAAGGCTTTTGACTAGGCTGTGCAATTATCGTTGAATATTCTGAGTTTTTTTTTTTAAAAAAAAACAAAACAAAACAAGTCCCAGCTGATTGGGGAGTTGGAAAGAAAGAACAGTCAAAGCTGACTTCACCTGCCTCCTGATTGAAAGAGCTTAGCACAGTGGCTCACCTCACACAGGCTGTGTTCACACAACCCACAAAAGCAGCTCCATTAAAGAGGCAGCAGTGAATCTGCATAACGTGCTAAAGCTGTGCTTTTCAACCTTGGCACCTTTTAAGATGGCAAGCCGGCTGGGGAATTCTGGGAGTTAAAGTCCACCCGCCTTAATGGTGCCAAGGTCGAAAAACACGGCTTTAGACTGCAGGGGTCTTCAAACTTGGCCCTTGGATGACTTGTGGACTTCAACTCCCAGAATTCCTCAGCCAGGCATGTTGGCTGAGGAATTCTGGGAGTTGAAGTCCACAAGTCATCCAAGGGCCAAGTTTGAAGACCCCTGCTTTAGAGTTTGTTAAGGGAATCTGGAGACAGGTAGCGTCTTATATGAACCTGGGGTAGCTTACAATTCAAGGCCTTATGCAATGTCCCCCCCAAAAAAACTGGTTAGGATAAAACCCGGTTCAGCATGTTGAGTGAACACAGGGACAGAAGAAAGAGTCTCCTTTTGATTTCCTAAACAGCCGTAGCAGCAGCAGGATTGTGGAGACTATTTCTCCGGAGCCTGGCTGAGGAAAAAGGAAGCAGAGGAAAACAGTGGAGACTGAAATAACAATTGGTGCCTCTGTTGCGCAGCAACGCAGGCCAAGAGCAACACAAGGGAAATCCTGCACGGGAAGAATTTGCCAGCACCTTGCAAAGCGTGGGAATCAGGAGCAGGAAAATGTTTGTGTGTGTGTGTTTGGGGGTGTTGGTGTTTCAGACAGGGAATCCCTGCAACCCTTGGGGAAGGGAGTGAGGAGTTCCAAGCACGTTGGAACTCTAGGACGTTGACAATCTAGGATGTTGACAATCTGCATGCAGAAGCAGCCCCCTTTTCCCCGGTATGAAATATGGTCAAAGAATGAAAAAGGTGGTCTTCTTAAGCTTGAAAATGGATTTCTGGTTTCCTTGAAATACACTGCAATACCCCCTTTAGTTCCACACTCAGTTCTTATCATGCCAACATTACTAACCTGCACAGGGAGGAGGTCAGCCAATAATATGAGAAGGTGAAACTATGGTTGAGATTGACAAAGATTGATGGGTAATCTTCAAGCTCTGATAAACTGATCACAGAAAGAAGAATTCAGAGAATAAGGACAATATAGAAGGGAGTGGAGTGGAGTGGAGTGGAATGGAATGGAATAGAATAGAATAGAATAGAATAGAATAGAATAGAATAGAATAGAATAGAATGGAGTGGAGTGGAGTGGAGTGGAGTGGAGTGGAGTGGAGTGGAGTGGCGTGGCGTGGCGTGGCGTGGCGTGGCGTAGGGTAGGGTAGGGTAGGGTAGGGTAGGGTAGCGTAGCGTAGCGTAGCATAGAATAGAATAGAATAGAATACTTTATTTGGCCAAGTATGATTAGTCACACAAGGAATTTGTCTCTCGTGCAGAAGCTCTCAGTGTGCATGCAAAAAACAAAGTAATAACAATCATAATAATGATACCAATAAGAGAAGGAAGTGGAACAAATGAGAAGGATCATAGCAATACAGTCTTATTACATAGCTAAATATCCCTAGGCATGACTGTGCTATGGAAATCACGTGTTCAACAGAGAATTTTCAAATTTCAAAGGGTGCTCAGTCTTTCAAATATAGGAATACATGCTTAGTTAAACTAAGTGATCCTTTGCATAATGTTAATATGTTTTCCTTCCCTCCTGGGATGATAGGAAGGAAAAAGTAGTTGTCAACTTCTCTCTCCCTCTATCTCTCTCTCTCTCTCTCTCTCTCTCCCTCCCTCCCTCCCTCCCTCCCTCCCTCTCTCCCTCCCCCCTCCCTCCCTCCCTCCCTCGCTCCCTCCCTCCCTCTCTCCCTCTCCCATCACCTAATTTTTACACCATCCATGTCCCGTACAAGATGATTCTGGATGGGTAATTCATGTTTATGTTTTTAATCACACCAGTATCCATTCATTTTTCAAACACAGATTCCTCCCATTCTTTCCAAAGGACTTTTATTATTATCTGAACTGGGATTGACTATTTCCCTCCCCCTTAAACGAAATATTTCTCAGGGTTGAATAATATTTTGGGGGAGGGGCATCCAGGGGGTGGTGTCGAATCACTGACGCAGCTGCAAGAACAGCCAGAGCGCCCACACCTTGGAACGAAGCTCCCTTCAAACGAGACCTAGCTCCCCGAAAAGATCCAATCTCAGCCTTACCAAACATTCTCCTCGCATGCTAACTTTTGTTCGGGGAGGTTTTTACACCGTTCAACTCTTGGAGATGTTCCTGGAAGCTTGTGTCTCTTGGATAGCTTGCAAGCCATGAATAAAGTTAATGTTTATAGAAGAAAAATGTTACTGGGATGGAAGGCAGCTGGATGCCCATTTATAGCAGTTCAGAGCCCATTGAACAGCAAGACTGATACCTTATCGTTCCTTCAGCTTTAAATCAAGGCGTTATGTCATAACCCCGATTGAGCAAATCAGAACGGTGCTCTGGCTCAGGGCCTAAGTTGCACCCGAGCCAAAATGGAAGCTCTGTTCTAGCCGTCATTGATCTGGAACTCTTCATATTTTTCCACAATCTTCCATCAGCCAATAGTCTGCTGGCCAAGAATATTGAAAGGTATCCTCCCAATGTATCTGGAAAGCTGTTTATTTAGCCATTAAATCTGTTTTTTTTTCCCCTTTCTTTTTCCATTCAATTGTATCCAATTCCCTGAAGTCTCTGAAGTTTTCTTGGCAAGGATTTCCAGAAGCGGTTTGCCATTGCCTCCTTCCTAGGGCGGAGAGAGCGTGACTGGCCCAAGATCACCCAGCTGGTTTTGCACCTGAGGCGAGACTAGAACTCACAGTCTCCCAGTTTTTGGCCTGATGCCTTAACCACCACACCAAACTGGCTCTCCAATTAACCTTACCTGTGATAAATTTTCCCCAGAGGTATTTTTCTGAGAAATTTCTAGGGATTTCCCTGCTCCCCCCCCTCGTTTCTTTTTCAGTCGCTCTGCTTGGAAAAAGGGGAGAACTTTTCACAGCCAGGTGCAGCTTTTATTCTTATTTCTTAGGAGAAGCTGCTGTATTATTGGACTATTTCAAAGGGAACACTGCCATCTTTGGGAGAAGTTGTGCAGCTGCACCAGATGGCTAAAAAAACAGCCAAGTCAAGCCCCTTATAATGCAGAAGATGCATAATTAATAGTACAGATAACCCTCAACTTACAACTTACACACAAAAAAATAATAATAAAAAATGGGGTTGGTCATGTGACTGACCTGCTTTATGATCATGATGGGCAGGTTCCATCACGGTCACAACGTGAGAACTATCTGTAACTTCTGACAAATTTCCCAATAAAACCTATCCACTGGGTTTTATTCATTTTAATTTCTTCATTAAAATAGCCCCACTCAGCCTACTTTTATATGTTACTTATTGGATTTGGAAAGACAAGGATAAAGAAGATCCTTCATTGGATAAAACTCTAAATATGAATTCCTTCAGGACATGTTGGGTAAGATGAGTAAATTATAGTATGTTTTAGCTGCCATTTGCCATTTGCTGAATGATCACAATTGGCTTCATATGCCATATCTAACCATGGTTTGTCAAGCCAATTTATTGGGTTTGCACCTTGCCTTATGCAACTTGCGTATGTCTGAAAACTTAGAGAAGCTAACTTAGCTCCTCTTCTCTTCTCTTCCCACAGAAATATATAAAAATAACAAACCAATATAAATAAATGAAAAAAGGGGAAAGAGAAAGAAAGGAAATGTAGAAAGTAATATACTGTATATCCATTCAGCAACTGAAGGAAATTAGATCAAATCACTTGGCATCCTTCCGGGGTAGGTAAAATGAGGACCCAGATTGTTGGGGGCAATGTAAAATATATATATACATTGCTTACTGGTGTACACCGCTTAGAGAGTGCTCGCACTTAAAGCGGTATATAAGTCTCATAAATAAATAAATAAATAAATTTCTCCTTGTTTATCTGTCAGGGAAACAGGATTCCAAGTAATGAAAAAGAGTTCCACCTCAGCGTTACTTAGTTGCAAATTAATCATCATCATCATCATCATCATCATCATCATCATCATCTTGGCTACAATGTTTCCATAAAGATCCAAAACTCTTGGAAAACTGACACATTTTTGCCAATCAACTGTTTTTGCAGAGATTCAGATTCAAAAATGCCAAGCAAAGTCATTTTTAAATTATTTGTGGCCAGAAGGTGGTGCTAGGATCACATTAACAAAAGTCTAAATTTCTGAAAAATTAAAAAAAAAATCTTTTTTTTTTTAAAAACCCATTAATAATAAAAATGGAAGATGCTCAGAAAGCTGGACAATATTTGATTTTAAGGCTATGTTTCCCAGATACAGAATACAGAATAACACGGTTGGAAGGGAGGAGGTCATCTAGTCCAACCCCCTGCTCAGGCAGGAACCCTACACCATTTCAGACAAATGGCTGTCCAGTCTCTTCTTAAACACTTCCAGTGTTGGAGCATTCACCGCTTCTGGAAGCAGATTGTACCATTGGTTAATTGTTCTAACTGTCAGGAAGTTTCTCCTTAGTTCCAGGTTGCTTCTCTCCTTGATGAGTTTCCATCCGTTGCTTCTTGTCCTGCCTTCAGGCGCTTTGGAGACTAGCTTGACTCCCTCTTCTTTGGGGCAGCCCCTGAGATATTGGAACCCTGCTATCATGTCACCCCTAATCATTCTTTTCATTAAACCAGACATACCCAATTCCACCAACCGTTCCTTATGTTTTAGCCTCCAGTCCCCTAGTCATCTTTGTTGCTCTTCTCTGCACTCTTTCTCAACATTTTTTTTATATCGTGGTGACCAAAACTGGATGCAGTATTCCAAGTATGGCCTTACCAAGGCATTGTAAAGTGGTATTAACACTTCATGTGATCTTGATTCTATCCCTCTGTCAATGCAGCCTAGCAC